TAGAGTCTGTTCCATATCTGCATGCCAGAAATTTCAAAGTCTCCTAAGTACAAAAAGCTAGGTTCCATTCTTAGTTTTTTGTGTTTTTTGTTTTTTTTTTTTTTAAAGATTTTATTTATTCATTTGACAGAGAGACACATAGTGAGAGAGGGAACACAAGCAGGGGGAGTGGGAGAGGGAGACGCAGGCTTCCCGCTGAGCAGGGAGCCCGATGCGGGGCTTGATCCCAGGACCCTGGGACCATGACCTGAGCCGAAGGCAGACGCTTAACAACTGAGCCACCTAGGCGCCTCAAAAGTTTTTATATTACTTATCAAATTCTGTTTTAGCCATCTAAATATACTTTGATATTGGTTACAAAAAAATAAATAGGAAAGTTTTAAATGTTTTAGACCCTATACTTAGTGCTTTATATATTGTCTCATTTAATTTTCAAACATAACCCTTTATATTCCAAGTCTATAAGCCATTATCTGAAACCCTTGAGGCCAGATCTATTTTATTTATTTATTTTTAAGATTTTATTTATTTGAGAGAGCATGAGTGGGGGTGGGGGCAGGGAGAAGTAGGCTCCCCGCTCAGCAGGACCATAGGATCATGATCTGATCATGCTGGCAGGACCCTGGGATCATGACCCTAGCCAAAGGCAGATGCTTAACCAACTGAACCACCTAGGCACCCCCAGATCTGTTTTAGAATTGTAAGTTTTTCATATTTTAGATAATTTAGGGTATGTAATTTCTAGACAAGTGTTACTTTTCCAATACTGAAACATATTAAATGGAATAAATAGGGCTTCACATCAGTTCAGATCCTATCTTCCTACAAATGGATTGTAAGATTAGGTTTTGACATCAAAGAAATTAAGGCTGTTTTCAGTTTTTTAAGATTTCTAAAATGTGGAATTTCAGATAATTCCTTCTGTTTATATGTATTCTCCATATTTGTGTAGCTGCTATTGGTGGAAACTCTATACTCAGGTTTATCTGGTACCATTTCTCATGTACTATCTTTTCCACGTAATAAAAGGGCTAGTCTTGATTGAGAGCTTGCTGAGCTTTCCTTTAATGCTATTTCTCTTGTTCTATGCATGGTTTTCATGATGACTCTTTGACCCCTCACTTCATTTATTGCTAACTGCCATACTCTGTGTAACTCAAACAGCACCAGGTGCCCAGTGAGTATTTTTTGAATGAATGACTCCACCCACAGATACACTGAAAGCTTTATTTTTCATAGCCCCTCACATGTCATGAGGTTTTTACCTAGCACAGTAGGGTGAAAGGCAGGACAGGGACATTAGTTTGTATAAATTGCTTTATGTCTGGTTTCATGATTTTCTATAGTCAAAATAGGTACACAAGAAAACCATTATTGTTAATGTGCCTGGTGGGAATGATCAGTGGGGTCAGTAGTGTATGATGTACTTATGTGGATGTATGGATATTGATTCATACTTAATTTTCCTGCTAGATTTACTGTAAAAATCATTTTGCTTTATTTCCTTTTTTATACTTAATAGAATGCTCCTCCCTTCTTCTGTCTAGTGGAAAGGCCATTCTTGTAGGAATTGGGAGAATTGGGTCAGGCTCCAACGTTGCTGGAATTATCGCTGGGTCACAGTGGGAAGGCAGTTTGTTTTGGGGTCTTGATATCCTGATAGCAAAAGTTTGTTTATTCAGGGGGCGCCTGGGTGACTCAGTCAGTTGAGTGCCCAACTTTTGGTTTTGACTTGGGTCGTGATCTTGGGTTTGTGGGACCAAGCTCTTGTCAGGCTCGCACTCAGTGGGGAGTCTGCCTGGGATTCTCTCTCTTGCTCTCCTCCTCTGCCCCTCCCCTGGCTCATGTGCTCTCACCCTCTCTTGCGTGCATGCATGCTTTCTCGCAAATAATAACTAGATATATATATTTTTTTGTTTGTTTTTTCAGAAGGTAAAAGTTGAGCTAAGTAAAATTTCAGGGTAGCAGAGTTTTTATTGGCATTCTGTTGTCTCCTTTGAGCACTTAACCTACTTTCTAGGCTTCCTTCTTGACCAGGGAAGCAGTGACCTCGGGCATAAAAAAGGTGCCCCAACTATGGCACCTACTTTCTCTGCACTGCTCCATTGTCCAGAAATAGTAGTCCTTTCACTCTGGATTCCCATTCCCTTAGTTCTGTGGCTGTCAGCTGAAGTAGGTGCCAGGAAAAAATCAGTCTGGAAATTATAGCTAATATAGGGAAGAGATTTGGTACAGCATAGCCTTCCCATATCTCTGCATGTCTTTCACTGGGGATTTTGCCTCACTGTTAAAGTTTAAATAACCTCAGAAGACAGTTTTGTCCTTCCAGATTTCCCTGATTTGTCTCTTAATCCCTTTCTCCTTAGGTTATCCCATAAAAGTCCTCTCTCCTGAGTCCTTACAACCCTTTTACTTACCCTGATGCCCACCGCTGCCCTATTGTTTGTTTTCTCAGAGGTTGGGATTCAACAGATCCTTAGTCTGCATTTCTGCCTCTGATGAGGTTTTGTCCTTTTTTGAACCTCGCCATGGCAGATCCACCTCTGGAGTCCCTTGCTTTGAATAGAACTCAGTAAACCAGAAAGGTGGGGGTGAGGTCACTTCTTGTAAGGAAACACCCCGTCCTTTCTCAGTCTGATATTTGATACTGACTGACTGTGTAAAGGTACGTCAGCAGGGGGCTCTCAACTTTTTTCCTTAGCCTAAGTATTAGACAAGAGAGTCAAACTTAGTGCTAGGGGAAGCTTTAGCACAGTGTTACGAACATGGCACATAAATGGTTCTTTCCAGCTGGAGAGAACTAAAGATAGCGAAGGTGGAACTAACAGCCTGGATCTCTACCCGGATATTGTCACTGGAACTGATCTTACAAGAAGGTTTTTAGACCAATGCATGTTAAGGTTTTATCTTAACTGATTATAATTCCCTGGAAAATAAAGCTTCTAAAATTACATATTTCACGTGTTTGTATGCGGTGCGCACAGAAAGTGTGGTGTGGATAACAGGATTATGGATTCTGGAGCTGTAGTCTCCAAAGCTGGATAAGAGACACAAGACAGTATGCAAAGGGTTGTTAGTAATTTAAAGTGAGACTGGGAGTCTGAGGAAAGAAATCACAACTTAGATTCCTATTTTCAAAAACAGCAGGATTTCATTTTGTCAACATTCTCTACAAGCCACTATAATGAAACCCTTTTGTGGTTCTATACTTACTGTCGGTCAGTCATAAAATACTTCCTAATGCAGCAGAATCTCTGGCTTCTAATTCATTAAATATAATATTTTTATAACATTTATTAAATAACATTGTATTTAATTAACCTGATTATTTTTAAATGTGTACCATTGGACATTTAGATCACAGCCCAACTATTGCTTTGCAGGTCTTTTTTGTTGTTGTTAAGATTTTATTTATTTATTAGAGCGCCGTGTGCACGCATGACTGGGGGGAGGAGCAGAGGGAGAGGGAGAAGCAGACTCCTGCTGAGCGGGGAGCCTCATTCAGGGCTCAGTCTCAGGACCCAAGATCATGACTTGAGCTGAAGGCAGATGTTTAACCTACTGAGCCACCCAGGCGCCCCATGTTGCTTTGCAGTTTAAAAGGAACTTGAAATTATGTGCTAAAAAAAAATATATATATATATATATTCTAGTCTTTAGGTAAGACTGTGTTGAGTAGAATGTAAAGGAAAGGCTGGACTCTTGTTTAAAACATACTCTATGTGCTAGCATGTTTCGCCAACCTCACTAGACAGACAGGATTATTTTGCAGCCATAAGAACTGTCTTTGCTGTCACAGCTGTCCCAAGAGTACCAGCCAACTATCTCCTTAGTATTCTGGGATCCCCAGATGACCCCTCCCATGAGCTCCCAAAACATTTCCCTTTTTCCTCTGTTCCTCCTCCACCCTTGTGGTAGTCACTTACTGGGGTGCCAGTTGAGGCCAGGGCCTCCTCACCAATGTTGCTAGTTCCCCCAGGGCACACTGGTACCTGGGCCAGGGGGCCCCTGGAGTTTCTAAGCATGAATCTTTAAACTGCCAGAGTGGTAGCACTATATTCTTAGAAGAAATGTTCTGGGAGGATGCTTTACTCTCTCACATGCTTGTACTTCACAGACTGCTGGCCATTCTGTCAGCTCCTTCTTACCGCCACCTTTCTCCATAGAGCCAAGTAGGAATTCATGGAAATAATGGGGTTGGGGACTAATACCTGAAGCATACTTTGCTGATAGTAATTTCCTGCTAATGCCTGGCAAAATCTCTTCTCCCTGTCTTTTCAGGACCAAAACCCGATTGAGCAACCAAGCAAACCTCATGCCTGACCAACTACCACTTCATGAGACATGCTTGGAAATCTTGAGTCCCACATTAGGGTGGATATAGGATCCTGAGTGCATTACTTAAAGATACTAATAGTTATCATTATCAGTAGACTGCAGGGATTTCTAGAAAATCTGTTTTGTCATGTTCTCCTCACACCCACTCTCCTTGCTCCCCACTCACCAGATTCCAGAACCTAGCCAGGCTGTGACCATAGAGCACAACACATCTCTGGATGTGTAGGCAAACCAGACTTTTATCCCTTGGTTGTAACTATCCCAGTATGGCTTAATCTTACTCATCCATATATAAATCTCTTTCATATATGGAAAAGAAAACTGAATAACTTAGCACATCTACTTTTGAGAAGAAAGGATACTTTTAATATTTATATCATAATAATTAGAATAATGGATTCTAAAGATGATCTGTAATATAAGTTAATTTACCATGTTTGCCTAGTTATTTCCAAAATTGTATTATGTCTCAATTATTACTATTTTTCTTTTAAAACATCTTTACTTCTTTCCTCTAAGTTTTTTTCTTGGAACAGTTGATTCATGGATTTATGCTGTATGATTAGTATTCATTTCTAATCCTAACTTGATTTTTTTTTTTCTTGTCCCCACCAGCTAGAAATATTTTTATTTTATTTTTATTTTATTTTATTTTCACACAGATGCAGAGTTTGCAGGGTGGTACAGAAGCCATAGCCCGATTGGATCAATTAGAAGCTGATTATTATGATCTGCAACTTCAGTTGTATGAGGTACAGTTTGAAATCCTGAAGTGTGAAGAGTTATTATTGACAGCCCAACTGGAAAGCATCAAAAGACTTATATCGGGTACGGTGTGCATTCAACCACGAAAGCCAGAAAAAATTGAAAACATAGAGAAAATATATGTATTTGTCAGCTATGTTTCTTGAAACTTTTGAGACTAAAAAAGTCTTAACATAAAACCTTTTAGAGGAGCTCCTAAACTGAAGTCATTAGGTAGACTCAGCAATGCAACTATGTATTACTTATGTAAAATGCTTACTTTTGTTAGGTTGTTTCAGCCAGAAAATTTTTGAGTTTTGGGGATGATACTTAACATTTATTGAGCACTTAACTGCATGCCAGACACTGCTAAGCACTTCCTATACACACTCACCCTAGAAGGTGTATTTCCCAATAATCACTATTTTACAAAGAAGCTCAAGAGGTCATGAATACAAGCCCCATGCTTGGGTATAGAGCTTACTGAAAGAAAAAAAAAGAAAATTAAAGACATATAGGATCATACTGAGTCCTAATGAAAAAATAAGGACGGGGGGGGGTGTTGCCTGAGGTTACAGAACCAGTAAGTGGATTAGAACCATGTTCTGTCTGGCTCCATAGCCCATGCTCTTAACCACTACCCCTTGTTGCTGTTTTGTTCTAGAAAAGAGAGATGAAGTGGTATACTATGACACTTACGAAAGCATGGAGGCCATGCTGGAGAAGGAAGAGATGGCAGCATCTGTGTACTTACAGAGAGAAGAGCTACAGAAACTTCAGCAGAAAGCACGCCAGCTAGAAGCAAGACGTGGACGGGTTTCAGCCAAGAAAGCCTACCTCAGAAATAAAAAGGTATAATAGGTATTTATTGAATAGACAGCCTTAATTTTAAATCCTGCTTTTAGTCGTTACTTAGTCCTTGACCCATATCTAATTCTAACCTGGTTTGTCACTAATATTTGTTTTAAAACTAAGTGAGAGTTACCTCTTCTCAGTACTCGAGCCATTATATTAACATTTTATAGTTTTCCGAGAGCTGCCCTGTTAAACACATTAGAACAGCCAGTGATAATGTCCTGTTTACCCTGAAGGTGACTCTGCTAAAGGGCATGACTGCAGGATCCCATGTAATGCAATTCCTGGCTCCTTATTATTTAAGGAGACCAGTGCTGTTCTAAATGAAGTCTTGGTTCTGACCTCAATCTTGAAGGAATTATATATATATATTAATCTAAATCTGAGGTAGGGAAAGCCACCCCCAGAGAATCTGCCTGTTTATACCAGCAGCCTCAGATCTGCTGCAACCCATCACATCACACAGAATCAGGGGCCCTCAGTGGTCTTGTCCTGTCCCATCCTTACCCCTGTCCCTCCAAGCCTACCATCTGGGGTGGCAGGTGTGCAGGGGGAGGAAGTAATGACAAAAGATGGGTAGAAAGAGAGAAAACTAGAAACACTAAGTCCTAAAAAGAAAGACAACGAGAAGATCAACTGTATGATACAAAAGATAAAAACACACCTCTCCATGTGACATCGTCCTATAATCCTTGTCTCCATGTCATCATGCCCACAGTCACAGGGTGCTTGGTTTATCCAATATCCACAGTAGAATTGCATACCCAAGGGTAGTTTTGACTAAGAAAATCATGTCCTGCTTCTCCTCTTGAAAAAACAAAGATGGTGTCTGGCTATGCCATGAGGATTTGAAGTCTGCGCTTTGTGATTGGACTTTTTAAGAAGAATAATAGAAACAACATTATTCTTTATGCATTTTTTATCTTCTTTAATGAAACCACTAGTCAAATGAGATAATAATCTTTTGCCTAAAGCCGAGAAAGCTCCAAAAGTCAAAAGCGTTCTCATACTTGGTTTGGTGACAAGCCCAGACCTGAGCTGAGAGGAAGTTGTCCATCTCATAGTCCCATTTAATTTGACTATTCATATATTTCACTGCAAAAATGTTAGTATTACTTTTAGGGCGCTCTTTCAGATCCTGCCGGAGTTACTGGGTAGTGTGTATGCAACATACCACCTTTCTAAAATCTGAAAATAAGGGACTTGAGACCTATATGCTCATTTTGTAATCAAGGGAACTAAGGCTCCTCGTAGTTAAATAAATCACCCAGAGAAAAGCAGCTAGTTACTGTGCAATGGTAGGAATCTGTCTTAGGTCCGTGTGATTTAGAAGCCTGAGTCATTGTACCACCATATCATGTTACTTATATATAATACTACTTTTGGTATCCCCCTGGAGACTGCCCTGAACAGTTTAATTTCAGGATCTGTACTTGTTAGGCAATAGAGTCAACCCAGTGTTGGTGAAAAAGACCAACACAGTTGCTTTACAATGTAGTTCACTGGCTTAAAAGGTCATTCATAATATCACTTTCTCTGGTTAGAAGAGTGATCTTTTGGTATAGTTTTGAGAGTGTTGGAAACTAATGGCCATCTTTTTATCTGGAGGACTTCTCTAGGAAGACCGAGGGAAAAAGACGTAGCATGGTGCCATTAAATGTTGCCAGATGATAGTGCATTATTTTGTAAAGAGGCACGTATTTCCTAGTTTATTATTGTTTTTATTTTCATGTGATTAGAATAAGCATTCATATATATATATATATATTTTTTTTTTTGGTCATTCTGACTTTTTTATCTTTAAGGTCCCTTTTCACTCAATCTCTGACCATAAGGTACAGATTTCATAATACTATTTAAGCCACTCCAAGCAAAACCATGTTCTTTAACCCATCAGAGTTTAGAATACACTTTCAGCCAAGAGTTGTATATCCTTTTTTACTCAGACTAGTTTAAAGAGTACAATAAGACTTAGAATCTTTTGGCCACAGACTTCAGAGCTTAAAGAGAGCTTTGAGATTATCTAAGGATACCCTCGTCCACTCTTATCTTGCTGTATCCCTCCCCGTCCAAAAAAAAAAAAAAAAAAAGTTTGGAAAAGAGACGTTCTAGAGAAGTTAATATTTTTTTAGATCCTAATGATTTGGTTTCTGCTGCTTCAGTACTTCAGATGAGAAACCAAACGTGGCCTACTTGGTGTTTTGCTATTGTAGGTACATGTTTTTGTTTTTTTTAAAGATTTTATTTATTTATTTGAGAGAGAGAGAATGAGAGAGAGCACATGAGAGGGGGGAGGGTCAGAGGGAGAAGCAGGCTCCCCGCTGAACAGGGAGCCCGATGCGGGACTCGATCCCGGGACTCGATCCAGGGACTCGATCCCGGGACTCCAGGATCATGACCTGAGCCGAAAGCAGTCGCTTAACCAACTGAGCCACCCAGGCGCCCCCATGTTTTTGTTTTAAGTTTTTTTTTAAGATTTTTATTTATTTAACAGAGAGAGTGAAAGAGGGAACACAAGCAGGGGGAGTGGGAGAGGGAGAAGCAGGCCTCCCGCTGAGCAGGGAGCCCGATGCGGGGCTCGATCCCAGGACCCTGGGATCAGGACCTGAGCCGAAGGCAGACGCTTAACAACTGAGCCACCCAGGTGCCCTATGTAGGTACATGTTAAGATTAAAACTAAAACCCAATTAAATAAACTCTGGTGTGGTGTTCCGAGTCTTTCAGGTTTCACTTACATTAAAACACATTTTATGTATTTATAGGAAATTTGTATTGCAAAACACAATGAAAAGTTCCAACAGCGCCTTCGGAGTGAAGATGAATATAGAACCCATCACACAGTACAACTAGTAAGTTTGGACTTGTGGAGACTTAGAAGAAAACTGATTTTTACATGTCTCAAAATGAATAGAGAATAAGAAAATGTGAATAACTAGATGTTAGCATTAATTCCATATATATGTATGTAGGAATGTATGTAGTTCAATATGTATGCATATATATACACACATTATTATTTAGAACAGTTTTAGACAAATTGACTAGATAACATAGACAGTTCCTATATACTTCCACACATGCACAGCTTCTCCTTCCAACCACGGTGTTGTACCTTTGTTACAGTCAGTGAATCAACGTTGATACATTGGTATCACCCAAAGTCCATAGTTTAGAGTTCATTCTTGGTGCTGTGTGTTCTATTGGTTTTGACAAATGTATAGTGATAGGATATGAATCCACCATTATAATATCATACAGAACATTTTCACCACCCTGAGAATGTCCTGTGTTCTATGTATTCATCCCCCTCTCTCTTCACACCCCTGGCAACCATTGATCTTTTTACTGTCTCCACAGTCTTGCCTTTTCTAGAATGTTTAATTGGAATCATACAGTATGTAGCCTTTTCTGATTGACATAACTCAGTAATATGCATTTAAGATTCCTCCATTTTCTTTCCTTTTTTTTTCTCCATGCATTTTCATGGCTTGATAGTTTATTTCTTTCTAGTGCCAGATAATATTCCATTGTCTGGGTACACCACAGTTTATTTATCAGTTCACCTACTGAGACATGTTGGTTGCTCCTATGTTTTGGCACTTATAAATAAAGTTGCTATAAACATTCATACAGGTTTTTGTGTGCACATAAGTTTTCATCTCTTGGGTAAATACCAAGGAGCACGATTGCTGGATTATAAGGTAAGAGTTGATTTAATTTTGTAGCAAACTGCGAAACTGTCTACCAGAGTGGCTGTAGCACTTTGCATTGCTACCAACAATGAATGAGAGTTCCTATTGCTCCATATCCTTGCCAGCATTTGGTATTGTCAGTGTTTTATATTTTAGCCATTCTAATTAGGAATGTGGTGGTATCTGATGAATGTTTAGGTTGCAGTTCCCTAGTGGTGTATGATAATGAGCATCTTTTCAAAATGCTTTCTTGTCATCTGTATATCTTCTTTGCTGAGGTTATGTACAGATCTTTTTCTGTTTTTTTAATTGGGTTGTTTGTTTTCTTTTTATTGAGTTTTAAGAATTCTTTATTCTGGATAAAGTCCTTTATCAGGGTTTTTAAAAAGCATATTGTGGCTTGTCTTTTCATTCTCTTGACAGCATATCTTGCAGAATGGGGTATTTTTAATTTTAATTTTAATGTTAATGAAGGCCAGCTTATCACTTCTTTCTTTCATGAGTTGTACTTTTGGTGCTGTATCTAAAAAGTCCTCTCCAAACCCAGGGTCATCTATATTTTCTCCTATGTTATATTTTGGGAGCTTTATAATTTATTTTACATCTAAGTCTGTGATCTGTTTTGAGTTAATGTATGTGAAGGGTATAGGGTCTGTAGCTAAACTTCTTTTTAAATGTGAATGTGTAGTTGTTCCAACACCATTTCTTTAAAACAAAAACAAAAACTGTCATTTCTCCATTGGATTGCCTTTGCTCTTCTTTTAAAGATCAGTTGATTAAATATATTTGGGTCAATTTTGTACTCTGTGTTGTCATATTGATCTAGGTCTTTCGCCGCTCCAAAGCTAGTCAGTAAGCACAAAATAAGCAACTGAAATTTTGGCTAGGATTACATCATATTTATAGGTTAAGTTTCGGAATAATGGACACCTCAATATTGTGTCTTCCTGTCTGTAAACAAGGAATTAGCTCTCCATTTTTTAAGATCTTTTTTGATTTCTTCTGTAAGTTTTATAGTTGGCCTCATATAGGTCTTATGTAAAGTGTTAAACTTTGAGGGGCGCCTGGGTGGCTCAGTCGTTAAGCGTCTGCCTTCGGCTCAGGTCATGATCCCAGGGTCCTGGGATCGAGCCCCGCATCGGGCTCCCTGCTCAGCGGGAAGCCTGCTTCTCCCTCTCCCACTCCCCCTGCTTGTGTTCCCTCTCTCGCTGTGTCTCTCTCTGTCAAATAAATAAATAAATAAATCTTAAAAAAACAAAAAAACAAAAAAACAACTTTGAGATGTTCGTTGCTGGTCCATTAGAAAGCATTTGGCTTTTCTGTGTCAACCTTGTATCCTGCAGCAGAGCTATAATCCACTCATTAGTCCAGGAGCTTTCTTTTTCTGTTGGTTCTTTTAGGTTTTCTACCTGAACAGTCTTGTCATCTGCAAATGAAGACAGGTGTATTTCTTCTATCCCAGTCTGTACACTTTTTACTTACTCCACTTTTTCCAGTAGCTAGGGCTTTCAGTATGATGCTAATAAGTAAGAAGGAATGGTGAGAGGGGACAGCTTTGTCTTCTGCTCTTAACAAGAAGTCTTCTAGTTTCTGTTCTTTTTTTTTTTTAAAGATTTTATTTATTTATTTGACAGAGACAGCGAGAGCAGGAACACAAGCAGGGGGAGTGGGAGAGGGAGAAGCAGGCTTCCCGCCGAGCAGGGAGCCCGATGTGGGGCTCGATCCTAGGACTCTGGGATTATGACCTGAGCCGAAGGCAGCCGCTTAATGACTGAGCCACCCAGGCGCCCGGCTTCTAGTTTCTGACCATTAACTACCATGCTTAGCTATAGGGTTTTTGGTAGATATTCCTTATCAAGGTGAGGAACTTACTCTCTCTGATTTACTGAGATCATTAGTTCACTTTTTAAAAAAATTGCATTAGAAATCTTCTACGCCCAGCATCGCTACACCTCATTATGTCTGCAGTGTATTATCCTGATAGTAGTCTTTTCAGACACTCGTGTCTTAGATTACTCAACCAAGAATTTTAAATTTCATTAAATAGTAGAAATGCTGACATGACCATATCACTGTATGTGCTTATATAGTGTTTGTCACCCTAAAGGCCAAATGGCTTAAGTTTTTCTGTATTAATCCCTTAAACTCATTTTGGCACATATTAGTTAAAGTTGCCCCTTACTCTTGATTTTAAACACATAAAAGTAGCCAAACTACCCATAAGTTGTAGGATTCATCATTCTCCAAGAAACTAGAAATAGCAAAATTAATTCTTGCACTTTCATTTTTCATTGTGCTTTTCATAGATCGGAAACTGACTTGTAAAGGGTAGATAATGGACCAGCCAAACAGGCAAATAAGAATGCCTCCTATCAGCCGCCATACCTGTGCTATCAAATTGCTGTGGAGATCCATGCCTAGACGTTACTTACTTCATGACGATTTTGCCACTACTTTGGTAGATGTAGCAACTGTTGGTTTTTTGTTTTTTAGATTTTCATTTATTTGACAGCACAATCGGGGAGCAGCAGGCAGAGGGAGTGGGAGAAGCAGGCTCCCCACAGAGCAGGGAGCCCGATGCTCCCTGGGATCATGACCTGAGCCAAAGGCAGACACAACCGACGGAGCCACCAGGCACCCCTAATTAGTTTTTTAGAATGACTATGAAATCCTTTCTCCAAGAGTTTCTTAGGGCAAAGAAGAGTAAAAATGAGGAAACTGATACTTGAGGAGATCTCAAAGATAAATGTCATCTGCCTTTTAATTCTGCCAAATACCAGCTTTGGGTGGAATGCTAAGTGGGGGAGAATGAGCCCACTAACCATCTCCTTTTCTTTAACATGCATAACTGTAGGAAAAGGCAAGTTGGCTTACATTAAAATAAATCCTTGTTTTTCTTTTTTCCTTTTTTTTTTTTTTTTTAAAGATTTTATTTATTTGGCAGAGAGAGAGTACAAGCAGTGGGGAGCAGCAGGCAGAGGGAGAGGGAGAAACAGGCTCCCCGCCGAGCAGGGAGCCCAACGCAGGACTCGCTCCCAGGACCTGGGATCATGACCTAAGCCGAAGACAGATGCTTAACTGATTAAGCCACCCAGGTGCCCCAAATCATTGTTTTTCAAAGCTAGTTTTAAACCACCTTTATTAAAATCTCTTGGGTGGTTTAAAATGCGCATTCCTAGATATTAACATTATTGTCTCAAAAATTTCTTCTGGAAATCCTTGCAAATTAAATATTTAAGACTAAGGAAGTTTATTTTAATATTTGATAGTAAACCTCTGAAACAGAATAAAGAAAATGTAAAGCTACTTTTTTTTTTCTAAGCTCAGAGATTGAGTAAGAGAAGGAAATGGTGGTGGGGACACAAGTCAGTTTTCCCATTAAAAAGTGCATTCTTGTTTTATTAACCACATTCATAACTGATGGGTTTCACTTCAAGAAAGTACAAACAGGGGCGCTTGGGTGGCTCAGTCGTTAAGCATCTGCCTTCGGCTCAGGTCCTGATCCCAGGGTCCTGGGAGGGAGTCCTGCATCAGGCTCCCTGCTCAGCCAGGAGCCTGCTTCTCCCTCTTCCACTCCCCCTGCTTGTGTTCCCTCTCTCACTGTGTCTCTCTCTGTCAAAAAAAAAAAAAAAAAATACAAACAATAATTTTAAGGTGTAGTTTATGAAAACTGATCAGAAGTTTTAAGATTATTTTGGTTACAGTGGTTTTTTAAATACATCATTTTTTGACAGTTTTTTTTTTGAGATGTATTTTCCATACAACATTGTGCAAATTTAAGATGGAGCATATTGATTTGATACATTCCATTTGCAGTATGATTGCCATTGCTAACATCTCTATGGTATCACTTAATTACAATCTCTTGTAGTGTTGAACAGTTAAGATGTAGTCTCTTAGCTAGTTTGTTGTTCATAATAGTTTCTTTTCTAACAGAAGATATTTTAAAATTGAAGTGTAGTTGACACACAATGGTGTGTTAGTTTCAGTTTCGGGTGTACAGTTACTGATGTGACAGTTCTCTACATAGTGCTGTCCTCACCGCCAGTGCAGCTCCCGCCTGTCACCGCACAGCACTGTGACAGTACCACTGACTGCATTCCCTGAGCTGCACCTTTTATCCCCGTGAATTCTCATTGCATAGCTGGAAGCTGGCACCTTCCATTGCCCTCCAGGCACTTTTTCCCATCTGCCCATCTCCCTTCCCTCTGGAAACCACAAGTTTGTTCTTTGTGCTGATGGGTCTGTTTCTGCTTTTTTTTTGTTTATTTTGTTTTTTAAATGCCACATGTGCGTGAGATCATAAAACATTTGTCTGATTTACTTCACTTGGCATAATACCCCCTAGGTCCATCCGTGTTGTTACAGATGGCAAGATCTCATTCTTTTTATGGCTGCGTAATACTCCATTGTACATATCCATCTCCACTCATCTTTTGATGGACACTTTGGTTGCTTACATATTTTGGCTATTGTGAATAATGCTGCAACAAACATAGGGGTGCATATATCTTTTTGAATTAATGTTTTTGTATTCTTTGGGTAAATACCCAAAAGTGGAATTACTATATCATGGGATATTTCTGTTTTTAGTTTTTTTGAGGAACCTCCATACTGTTGTCCACAGTGGCTTCCCCAGTTTACCCTCCTGCCAACAGTGCACGAGGCTTCTTTTTGTCCACGTCCTTGCCAACACTTGTTATTTCTTGTCTTTTTCATTCTAGCCATTCTGACAGGTGTAAGGTGATAATGTCATTGTGGTTTTGATTTTCATTTCCCCAACGATTAGTGATGTTGAGCATTTTTTCATGTGTCTGTTGGCCATTTGCATATCTTTGGAAAAATCCTCTGCCCATTTTAAAGTAGATTATTATTATTTTCTTTGGTATTGAGTTGTGTAAGTTCTTTATGTATTTCAGATTTAATGCCTTTCTGGACATATCATTTGCAAATACCTTCTTCCATTCAGCGGGTTGTCTTTTCATTTTGCTGATGGTTTCCTTCACTGTGCCAAAGTTTTTTATATTGGTGTAGTTCCAGTACTTGATTTTTGCTTTTGTTTCCTTTGCCTGAAGAGACCTGTCTAGAAAAATGTTGCTAAGGCTGTTGTCCAAGAGATTACTGCTTGTGCTCTCTTCTGGGAGTTTTCCTCTTTTTCACCACCTGCACCTCCAGGAGGGTCCGTTTCTTACTTGGTGCTTGACAGCTAAACCTCCAGGTCTATTTAACATGCCTATTCTTCCTCAGCACCACATACACATCCCTTCTGCTTTCCTAGGGCTTACTATAGGGTCTGGCTGACAGGTAATTGGTGTGTTTGATGGAAGAATGGAATTTCTTTATTTTCAGCTGCTTTTACCCTAACATATTACTCTCTTAGATGGTATTTTAACATGCCATCCTTTTTTATTACATGATCTTAAAAAGTTTCCTTGCTCTTATATTTTCTAATTTTGTTTTACTATCTATAAGCAAGTTGGTTTTTTCCCTGAATAATTGAGTATCCTGATGTGTATAAATTTTGATCACTTACCAGATTTAAAAAAGCATATTCTAAACTTTTTCTTTACTGCTACTTTAAAAATTCTTCTATTAAAAGCAGTTTTAATTAGTGGCTTGCAAAAATGCTTCTCAACCATTCTAACTCATTTTTAAAAACCTACACTGTTTATAAAAAGACAAATGATCGTTACAAAAGAATAAAGCAATACAGAAAAAAAAACTATGAAGAAAAAACCACCAAAATAGATTATCACAACTCCTCTTCCTGAGTTTATTTTGATTCATCTTAGAGCTAGATTTCATTGAGGTACCATTTAGGAAAGTTTCATGGTTACCATATATTCTATGTTCTGGCATTTCCTAAGAGAAAATTTGTCTAGGTCATACTGTCATATTTTCTCTCCATCAAAATTTGGAGTCATTGTTACACTTTCTTGTAGCTTTGAATGTTGCAATGAGAGGCCTGAGGTTTCCCCTCCCTCCACCCATCCTCCATCAGACTTGAGTTTTCTGCATGGATACTCATAAAGAGTCTTTGTTGTGGAAGTCTAGTAACTTTACCAGGTGATCATTGTGCATCAGGGTTTCCTGAAACTCGATGTTCACTTTCAGCCTGAAGATTCAAATCATCCTTTAGATTTCAATATAATCATCCAAGACAAATGAAGCAGTAACTCTCACTAGAAATTGTCAGGGAAAAGCTGGTGGGAAAGAAGAGAGGTAATAGAGTAAGAGAATAATGGAAGATTGAATTTGAAAAGGACAAATGGAAGAGAGACAAGTTAATGACACACTGGAGACCACGGTCCTCTTCACACGAAATTAATTGATCTTGTAGGAGGTATCTCCTAGTTTTTAAAACAAAGCAGGAAATAAAGCCATAGCCTTTTCATTTAATTCTTGTTCTGTGAAATCAGATTTAATTAGATACCTTTTAGGTGATTCAGCAGCATAAGGAATTTTTTTAAATTCCAGTATAGTTAACATACAGTGTTCTATTTGTTTCACGTGTATAATAGTAATTGTTTAACAATTTACATTACTCAGTGCATATCATGAAACATGTACTCTTAATCCCCATCACGTCTTTCACCTTTTCCTCCCACCCACCTACCCTCTGGCAATGATCTGTTTATTCTCTATAGTTAAGAATCTATTTCTTGGTTTGTCTCTTTTTTCCTTTACTGATTTGTTTCTTAAATTCCACATGTGAGTGAAATCGTATGGTATTTGTCTTTCTCTGACTTATATCACTTAGCATTATACTCTCTAGGTCCATCCATGTTATTGCAGATGGCAAGTTTTCATTATTTTTATGGCTGAGCAATATTCTGTTTTACATATGCCAAAGCTTCTTTATTCATTTATCTATAGATGGACACTTGGGCTGCTTCCATAATTTGGCTATGGTAAATAATGCTGCAGTAAACATAGGAGTGCATATATCTTTTCCAATTAGTGTTTCCATATTCTTTAGGTAAATACCTAGTAGTGGAATTACTGGATCATAAGGTAATTCTATTTTTAATTTTTTGAGGAGCCTTCATACTCCAGACATATAAACTGTTTTCCACAGTTACTACCAGTTAGCATTAACATAGGGAAATTTTTAAATTTCTGTACAGATAACTCTCAGTTTCAAGGTGTGATATTAAACCTAATGATTCATGTATACTGCGAGAAATATTTTTTTTCCCTAACTGCTGGTTATATTGTTTGAATGATTGTGCAGTATCTATAAACTATTGGCCAGGTGGCTGCTGATTTTATTTTTAAGGTGAACTGTTTGATTTTGCAGAATAGAGCAGCTACAAGTATTTTATATTTAAACTGTTTAAGCCAGAACCTCGAAGATGGAACATTTTTTAATCTAGAGAAGATTTGATTTTACTTTTCAGAGTAAACATCTTTAATTGCGGGTAAATGCAAAAAAAGAAACAGTATTGTTTTTGTCAGCATATCATTGTGAATTTTAAAACTATGATTTCTATTAAAAACTAGTAGTTTCATGCCATGAAACACTTTGTTTAATGAATCATTCTTTGGAGTTACCCATTTTACTTATTGAGAGAACTCTCCCCCCCCCCCCCGTTAATAATAAAAATGAATGAGACACATCATAATGGAATTACTATTAATTTTTTACCAGAAGAGAGAAAAATTACATGACGAAGAAGAAAGAAAAAGTGCTTGGGTTAGCCAGGAGAGACAAAGAACACTGGATAGACTTCGAACTTTTAAACAGGTAATAAAAGTATGATCAATTTAGTTTTCATTGCTTTTTTAAACAGCTACATATAGCTACATTTACAGTCCTATTGGAAGATTATGAGAAAAACTTAGGTTTTCCTTTATAATTTAGAAAATAATTATTGGGGGGATGGGCTGATGGGTTGATGGACAATAAGGTAATGAGCATTGCGTGTTCTATGCAACTGATGAGTCACAGTTCTACCCTAAAAATAATAATATACTATTTGTTAACAACCTTGAATTTAAATAAAGCCAAAAAAAGAATTATTTTAGGGGTACCTGGGTGGCTAATTTGGTTAATCATCTGACTCTTAATTTTCTCTCGGGTCATGATCTCAGGATTGAGACATCAAGCCCATGTCTGGCTCTGCACTTGGCAGAGTATACTCTAGATTCTCTCCTCTCTCTTCTCTCAAATAAACAAATAAATAAAATATTAAAATAATTTTTTAAATTAATGTTTGATTACCGGGCTACCTTTCTTCTGTGTGTGTGTGTGTGTGTTTTAAAGATATATCATTAGAGAGAGAGAGAGTGGGGGCAGGGGCAGGAGGAGGAGAGTCTTAAGCAGACTCTGTGCATGGAGCGTGGAGCCTGACACGGGGCTTGATTTCACGACCCTGAGATCATGAGATCATGACCTGAGCTGAAACCAAGAGTCGGTCACTTAACTGACTGCTGCACCACCCAGGCACCCCATACCTTTCTTCCATTTGTGTACCACATTAATACCCTCGTGCCGTTGGCCTACCACTTCAGTAGTGGAAGAGGAATGGTCAGGGCCTCTGGCAAACCGGGATTCTTTTTTTTTTTTTTTGATTTTTATGTATGTATGTATGTATTTTAGTTTTATAAAATTAATTCACAACTGACTATCCAGTCCATTTCAGGCATCAACTTGTTATTAATAGCACATACAGTAACCTATGGGAACAATCTATGGAAGTGATCCTGCCAGAATTAGAGTGGATCAAGCTGCATGAGAAATGGTTTGGCAGTTCTCTTGCCAGGCTAACCACCCATGAACCTGGACGCCAGTATCACAGCAGCCAGACATTTCCTTGGAACTGTGTTTAAGCTGAATGGTTCTAGTTGTGGAGGTGCTCAGGAGTCTTACTTCCACGGTCTGTGCTGACAAGGATAAGCCTTGTGTTAAGTAAATGTTGTTCACCAAATCCATTAATGTTAGGTTTTACTGTAGTAAAAGATAGAACAAGAGTTGTGTATATTAGTACTAAAAATTTTATTCCCTCTCCTTCCATCATAAAAATGTATATATTGTTTTGAGAGTTTTTTTAAATACCAAGAAACGTTTTATTTTTTAATTTTTTAAAAAGATTTTATTTATTTATTTGACAGGGAGATAGAGGGAGAAGCAGACCCCCAGCTGAGGGGGAGCCCAAGGTGGGGCTTGATCCCAGGACCCCCGGGGTCATTACCTGAGCCAAAAGGCAGCCACCTAACCAACTGAGCCACCCAGGTGCCCCCCAAGAAACGTTTTTAAAAAGAACATTAATTTTTAATTTTTTATCTGTAAGCATTTGAAAATACATGTAAGAAGCTAATAGTTTCATAGCTTTCTATGTATCAGTATCATTTATGTTTTGTATTTTGTCTTGCTGTTTTGTCATTAAAATTAGTAATTTCAGTCGTTAAAAATCTTTAAATCCTATGGTAATTCTGAACAGTTGGCTTCTTAAGTGGACAAGAGGACCAGGGCCTTGATAAAGGATTTGATAAGCAAATAGAGTTCAGTGATAATTGTCGAAAGGTATTATGCTGTGGTATTGTAGTCTTCTGTTTGACTTTATTAAAGAACTTTCCCTGAAAAATCACAAAAGCTCCAAAATAACATCTTCCATCTGAAGGAGAAAATAGCCATTTGTTGATACATTGTTTTAATGTAATTTGACCAGTTACAATACCTTCTGGTTTTTTAGAGGTACCCTGGCCAAGTCATACTTAAATCAACCAGACTGCGCCTGGCTCACGCAAGAAGAAGAAGCACAGCCAGTCCCGTGCCCTGTGAGGACCAGTGTGCCTCTCTGCCAGGAGCGCTCCAGGTAGAAGAGAAAAGTGAAATGGTGGAGGAGGGAAGAGGGAAGCTCGCGTCATTGCAGGAAACAGAAGCCCAGAGCCTCGCACAACTTGAAGACAGTTCATTAGCACAACTTGAAGCCACTTCATTACCTCCCGGTGGTGTTACCTCTGAACTGCCGCCCGCGGTGTCTCTTCCACGTTGGAATAATACTGACCTCGAACCGGGTTCTGTTACCATAGCGCCACTCCCCCCACCTCTTCCTCCAACACCCCCTCCCCCCCCGCCGCCCCCTCCCCCTCCCCCCCCGCCGCCCCCGCTGCCTGTCGCCAAGGACCACTCCCTGGAGCCCCTGGAGAAAGGTCAGCCCGGAAGAGAGGGAAGAGAGGGGAGCGAGCCGAGGGCCGCGGAGGCCGCGAGCGCGCCGCCCGCGCAGCTCTTTGACAGTAGCCAGCTGGTCAGTGCCCGGAAGCGGCTCCGGAAGACTGCCGAAGCTCTGCAGAGGAGGAGAGGTAGGCTCCGCGGACGCCTCCCGCTCCCGCCCCTCCGCCGGGTGACGTGAGCCGAGCAAAGGCCTTTCTGCCTCATCGCGCCCTACAGAGCTTAGAACGCTTAATCTGGGGACTTTATTCGACAGCAGACAGGTTTTCACGGTCCGGCTTGGCGGAAATCCTCCCAGCCCCCATCAGCAAATGGGTATAGGCACAGGAATGTGTACCTTCTTGAGCTCCTACGGATGTTTTAAAAACTACATATTTTGAAGTGATACTTGGTCTCTCTGGTAATACGTAGGAAGTGGTTCCTTCTGTGTTTAAAATAAAATCTGATTTCAAACCTAGGAAATACAAGGAAGGTATTCACACCAGAGAAGGTAAGCCAGCTGGGCAGGACTGTCACACTAGGATGACGTTGGCAGGACCATGTAACATGTGGTCACATATTTACGGAGGGCCTTGGTGTACTCTTTGTACAAACAAGCAAGGAAGGGGACGCCTGGGTGGCTCAGTATTGGGTGTCTGCCTTCGGCTCAGGTCATGGCCCCGGGGTCCTGGGATGGAGCCCCGCAGCAGGCTCCCTGCTCAGTGGGAAGCCCGCTTCTCCCTCTCCCGCTCCCCCTGCTTGTGTTCCCTCTCTCGCTGTGTCTCTCTCTGTCAAATAAATAAATAAAATCTTAAAAAAAAAAAAAAAAAAGGAAGGATGGGGAGTAACATATACAATTTATTGCATGTCCGATAAGCCTTAATAAAGCTGTTTTTGAAAAGAACAGAATAATCCTGGTCCATAGCTTTCATTGGGAGAATATTATATAAAACAATGTGCATATTAAATTTTAATCTGAGAGACCATACTGTAAAACACTTCTTACCATAACTGGAGTAGAATTTTATATGTAAAACAACTAAATGGAAAAAAAACAGAACAGTCACTGTAGTCAGCGCACCTGGCTGGCTCAGTCGTTAGAGCTTGCAACTCTTGATCCTCAGGGGCATGAGTTTGAGCCCCCCGTTGGGGACAAAGTTTACTTAATAATAAAAAAACCTCTTTAAAAAAAGAAGAAATCACCGTAGTGAATCAAAATTAGTTCTTTAAAATTACATTTGTAACTCAATTGCTGTCTGAATTTAGATTGAGCTGGTACATTGTGGAAATCCTTTGGGAGTCTCACCCATTATATTCCCAGAGAGCACCTTCCAGCTCCCAGTCTGCTTGCTTCTCTCACATGGGAAATGATAGAAATAATAACTTGGAATTGGAGTCTGGGTGTTGTGGCTTTGTTTGTTTGTTTGTGCAAGCATAATTGGGATCCCATGTGTTTCTGGGAAACCTTCAGTCCAAACTTCATGGTCCATATTGTTTTCAGTGTTCTTGGCTAACACAGTCCTAAAGTCTAGAGGTTGCCAGCTGGACTCTAATCATGATCCTAACTGTCATTTTTCTCTTTCATTTGTAAAGTGAGCTCACCCATGGATGAGGTGCTAGCTTCCTTGAAGCGTGGTAGTTTTCATCTGAAAAAGGTTGAACAGCGAACTCTACCTCCTTTTCCTGATGAAGATGATAGTAATAATATCTTGGCACAAATCAGGAAAGGGGTAAAATTGAAGAAGGTACAGAAGGAAGTTCTGAGAGAATCCTTCACACTTCTGCCTGACACAGACCCTCTAACACGAAGCATCCATGAAGCTCTTAGAAGAATCAAAGAAGCGTCCCCTGAGTCAGAGGATGAAGAGGAAGCTTTGCCTTGCACAGACTGGGAAAACTAACAAGTAAATGGTCTTATTTTCTTTCGTAGCATCAGTAATACAGCTTTTCTATTGGATGAGGAGGTCTGTTAGATTTTATTGATGAGGTTTATTATTTATTATACAGCTCAGTTATAGCATAGACCATAGATTTATGAACTTCAGGTTTTGTGTAGTTTCTAGAAACTTAACAGTAAAGCACTTTTCAAAAATACTGTTATGTAAATGCTGTGTTTATATCCTGCTCATTAAAAATTTCTACAGTATAGCTGTAGCCCAAATAAAGAGGGTAGTCTTATCTCAGTAAAGTGACAGTCTTATTTCTTGTTTTAAAAAGAGAAAAGGCGGGATGTCTGGGTGGCTGGGTTTACGCGTCTGCCTTCAGCTCTGGTCATGATCCCAGGGTCCTGGGATCGAGTCCTGCTGAGCCTGTTTCTCCCTCTCCTGCTCCCCGCTGCTTGTGCTCTCTCTCTGACAAATAACATCTTTAAAAATAAATACAGAAAAGGTCTTTTCTGACTAAAGTATTTCAGGTACAAACTTACGTATATTGAATTTTGGTGTCTTCTTAGCTGCCTACAAAGGAATTTTCTGAGATCAGTTTAGAAAAATTATTGCATTGTCTGATTATTTAGCTTTCTAAGCTTATAAAATGAAGGTTTATCTGCATGATACAGATAAAATTGCAGCTAATATAATAAATACATAGTAAGTGTATGCATATCTTACTGAGTACACCTGTGGGTACTGGTAACACATTTGGGGTTCTTCTAAAGTAATAGAGTTTTTTACTTGACCACATTTTAGTAAGCTAATTATATAGTTCTATGGCACAAATTATGCTAAATACAGTCAGTAAAGATAGCATATGAATATAGAATTGATAGTAGTCCTAACTGAAATGTTACAACTTGTGCAAACTGTAATGCAAATATGCCCATATATTCTATTAAGTATCTTATGCTTTCTTGATGGACTGTTTCTATGGGCTTTACAACATTCACCAAAAGTTGAGGGGGCGGGAGAGAGACTGATAGCCCTGGGAAGGAAGTAGGTAAAAGAATAATAAACTTACTTGTTAGCAAAGTGAGTCTTAAACATGCCTGATCATAGAAGTACCTGGGGAGCTTATTAAAAACGCAGATTCTTGGCTTTCGCTCCCATGGATTCTGACTGAATATTCAGATCTGATGTATATGCAGGCATACATCTAGATTTTGAAGACATAAACCAAAAAAGGGTAAACTGTGTCATTAATTTTTTTATATTACTAACATGTTGAAAGATACTGTTTGGGATATATCAAATAAAATACTACTAAAAGCAATTTTACATGCTCCTTTTGGGCATGGATCCATCAGGAAAATGTAGATGTTCTTCTGCAGTGCTCTCATCCCTACCTCTCCCCATCAGCATCTGCACTAATCTGTAGCTTTAACAAAAAAGGGGGGGTGAAAAATCGCGTTCCCCTCGATAAGTGGTTTTTTAGTGCGCTCCAGCTAGCATTCAGTAGCAGCACTGTGCTGCCTGGCACTGGGCTGTTGGTATCCCTTTTTCCTCTATTGATAGAGGCCCTGAGTATCACTTTGTAGGACCCAGTGTTTTTGGCTCCCAGATTAACTTCAAACCATTTGTGCTATACCTTTGTACACTATGCTTTGTAGAAGATATAAATATATTATTGTGTGTACTCAGTATGCGACTATGTCTAGGGATTCAGGGTGTCTGACTGGGAATCTTCCACACTGTCTGCCACTTTAAGGTGCTTGTTACCTCTCCCCTTGTCTCTTGCTTGGAGCTTCTCAGTGAGCTTCTAAGCCTATGCCTAAAACTACCATCTTAGGCACTGATTGATTAGTTAACCCCACAGTTGGGCCTTCAATAAATGTTTTCGTCTTTTGGTTACAGCTGCCTGCAGTAGCCCAGTTGGGGTACATGGCCCACCAGCACTTGCTCAGACCAGCCCATCATCTCCGTTTGTTTTCACCCATCCCACCAGATCCTGCCCAACATGTAGACATGGCAGCAGCAGTTCATATGTTCAAGTGCTTGGGTGGTTATTTTTAGCTTTTGGCTGCTAATTTACCCTTAGAGCTGTGTTAAGAATATGTCCACAATTTTGAAAATTGCCTAAAAATAATTGTTTGGCTGATTATTAATACATATGCCAGCCATAAGTAATAATGTTGAGAGAAAAGTGAAGTACTCCCAGAAAACACATGAGCTGAGATATCTGCAAAGTAACGTATAAAAAACAGACTGTACCCTATGCCAGAAGCAAATCATGGACTAGTTGTAACCCCACCGATCTGAGCAGGCATTGATAAAGGGGCTATTCTCACTGCCTTGTATGTGGTCTTGGGGAATTGTTTTTGAGAGAGAGTGAGAGAGAGAGAGAGCACAAGACGGGGGAGCGGGAGAGGGAGAAGCAGACTCCCTGCTGAGCAGGGAGCCCGATGTGGGGCTCGATCCCGGGACTCCAGGATCATGACCTGAGCTGAAGGCAGTCGCTTAACCAACTGAGCCACCCAGGCGCCCTTGGGGAATTGTTTTTAAGACTGAACTTTTAGATACTTCGCTACACATGGCTAACAGGTCTGTGATTTTATTTTCTATTACAAATCCGTTTCTTGAGGATTTTAAATCATTAATTAGCTCTTCAGGAAAAAAAAGTAATTTCTCAAAACTTCATGAAATAAAAAGTGAGTATCTCCTGTTCTGCCTTGTCTTCCTTTAAAGCTCTTCTCAGTGAGGTGCCCAGGTGGCTCAGCCAGTGAAGCCTCTGCCTTCAGCTCAGGTCATGATCTTGGGTCCTGGGATCGAGCCCCACATCGGGCTCCCTGCTCGGCAGGGAGTCTGCTTCGCCCTCTCCCTCTGCTGCTCCGCCAACCACTTGGGTTCTCTCTCTGTCTCAAACAAATAGAATCTTTCAAAATAATAATAAGACTCTTCTCAGAAACAGCCATAGGTAATAGTGTCCTGGAAGGAAATTTCTAAACATAAGTAAATACATATAATTATATAGACTTTATATTTAGTTTCTAATTTCTTTTCTGTGGGTTCCTCTAAGTTAAGAAGTAACTATGATGACACTGTCTGATAGAAATACAATATGATCCACAGATGTAATTAAAACAGTTTTTATAGTCACATTGAAAAGCTAGAAAGAAACATACGAAATTGATTTCAGTAATACTTTATTTTATATGATGTATCCAAAACAGTATATTTCAACATCCCATCAGTATAAAAAATCCACGATGTAGTTTATTTTTTTTTACTGAGTCTTCGAAATCCAGTTTGTATTTTATATTTAGTAGCACATCTCAATTTGGATGCTAAGTATTCAGTGGTTAAAGTTGAAATGTTCTAGCAAAACAATAAAATTGCATTTAATGGAGAAATATTTTATACTGCTTCAGATTTTAATTTAAATCAAAAATTCACTTTCTCAGTCACATTAGCCACATTGCAAGTGCTCCAAAGCCACACGTAGCTGCAGTATCAGATAATGCAGAACTATAATAACATAAGTTAGGACTTGATTTATGTGCATGTTCCTTTTTATCTGCCAAGTAGGTTTTTCATATAAGTGCTCCTGTGCAGTGTGTAAGCCATAGATCTCGAACACAACTATTCTGGAACTTAGCTAAAACATCTCTGTGAAGACCGGTACTAATCCTGTCCTCTACATGTCAGTATAACAAAAACTCACTTTCTCATGAATTTTTAAAATATCATTTAATTCTTAATAGACTGGCAGTTTATGAGGCTGATATTTTAGATTGTATTTGGTCCTTTTTATTGTATAGTTCTGACAAAATGTTAGAGTAAAAGGAATAAAAGTGAATCTAACATATAACCTTCTAAGTGTTCAAAGTTGTATTCTAATTATTTTGTTTCCATTTTTATTGCTTGAAGAATACAAACGCATTTTTTTAAAACATGTCTCTTATATACTGTCTTTACAAATGGCCATTTGTAAGAAATACCAGTGCCAGATATTGCAAAAGTTGTGTGGGAACATATATGTGTTTACAACAACATGATACATTTAACATGACATATTTTTAAAAGACCACACTGTCTTTAATAAGTCAGTATTTTTTAATACACTGTATATTTTTGTTTGTAAACAGGTGACTCAACAGAAAGAAAAAACACCTACAGTTGAAGATCAAAGATTTTTTTGGAAAACAAAATTTTAAATGTGTGATTTCCCAACTGGATTCCGTTAGATGCAAAGTGTGTTGGCTCTGTGGTATGAAAAAATGGAAGCACAATTGGCAAGTTATCGCTTTTCCAGTCATTCCAATATTGGTGGTTAACATGAGTTTTAGATGTGCAATGCTTCTGATGCAATGAAGAAAAGGCCTTCCAGAGATGCCTGGTTTTTTAAGCACCTTCCCTTCCTTCCTGTCCACCCGTGTACATCCTTGTAGTGGCCAGTCAAGCTAGGGGTTGCTCTGAGTTGGAAGAACACCGGGTTGACAGAGACCTACTGTGAGCTGTATTGGGACTGCTTTGAAATCCATCTTTAAGTGCACTGAATAGTCCTTTGCTTGAAAACACAGAGCTTCTTCTATATCAGCTTGTATAAATAGTCGGACACTCTGAAAAAGAAGTTTATCATGATAGCTATAGGACAGGAATTGGAAAGAATCAGATGGAAACGCACTGAAAATTTCCACATTACTCATCTCCAAAGGAATTTTCATAAAGATGTTCAACATCTGAAAAGATCTATAACCATGGAGATACACTTAATGTGTTTACCACAACATGACACATTTACCATGGCATATTTTTAAAAGACCACATACTCTCACACTTTGTAAGGTTTTGAAGTAAAAATTTCCATGCTTTTAAATAGCTCTTCATAATTGTGAATTTATAATAGTTTGAATTTCATGTGCAGCTTTGTTTATGAAAAGCAATACTTTGTAACTTGATAATATTTCAGATTATTTTTAGTCCTTTTGTTTGAACGATTGCTCGATTAGTGTAATTCAATATGACTTTCCTATTGAGAATCAAAAATGAGAATTCAGTAATAGGGATGCAGATCTTAAGTCTGTTTAACATGCACCATTTAAGTTTTTCTTTTTATGCTCCACAGTGAAGTGTGCTCTACAAATATGCAGAAAGTAGACAGGCAGAAAAGCCTCCTTCGCTAGCATTTCACTATCTTCACATGTTTTGAGTGGAATTTGGGGAGAGCACCTTTATTACTGTTAGTAGACCTTTTAAAACATACGTATGTAGTTCCAGGTGCTGAGTTTGCCATAATGGCGTCCTGAAGGGCACATTTATATGAATGGAGCCATTATGAATTCTCAGCAGGAGTGTTGTGGGCTTGAATGAAGGTAGATATGGCAGACTCAGTCTGTAGTATTCTGTAGAGTGTAATTCTGCATCAGACAGATATTGGCCTTTATATGAAGGGAGTTAAGTAAGGACTGATGTACCAAAAAGAACTTTATTTCTTCTGAGACATTTCTCTGGCCTAGACCCAGAAAGCAGTCCCAGAGTAAAAGCCCTCCAATGTATATGAATTAGTTTTTCAGAAGAGAGAAAACATGCTTACACCTTTGTCACTTTAAGATGTATTTCCTTTAAAATAATTATGGAGAAAATTTTCTGTTTATTGATGAGAGTAGGAGCTTTTGCACAGTTTTTTCACAATACATTAGTTTTCTTGTTGTATTATTCCTATATCTTATCTTGGAAGGTTAAATACATATCTAGTATAGAGACTTAATTTTTATCCCACAATGGGGGAGGTGGGTGTGGAATTATCCCCGTTTCCTTCAGTAAAGCATTGAAGTGTGCTTTTCAACCAAAATAATGATTGGTTTGATTAATATAATTTGGCAAAAAAAAAAAAGTTTAAGCAAATTTGCAAACCTTAAAAAAATCATGTATCAGTTTTAAGCCTTTGGATGCTTATGAATAAGTTTGTTTTTTCATTCATTGATATTTAGAAAAATACAGGAGAACTTAACATTAAATTAACAGCAAAAGCACTAGAACTTTCATATGTCAGGAATTTGCTCCCCATTTAGTGTTACAGCTGGGATTCCATTAAAAAACAGGCTCACTTATAAATGGGTACTGTGATTTGTCTTCCAGAACCATGTTCTCGTAAGTCTGTAGTACTCTGGAGGGGGTACAGACCCCTGTGAATCCTTTTGGGGGTGCATCCAAAACTCTTGAGTACATCCCACTGTGGCACTTCATGAAGATTATCTCACTTGAAGATGATGAGTAGGTTAAAGCAAACCCTCGTTTAAAACCAGCTATACTTACTCTGCTAAATAAACTTCCTCCACCACACCTATTTTCCATCCTTAAGATTCAGATTCCTACTTGCACAGAATTACGAGTTACTGCAGATCATCCACCTTTGGAGTTCTCACAGTGTTAAAATTTCAAATAAGTACAGTCCACTTGTCCAAGATGAGATTACCAGTTGAATCCTCAAGTTAATTTTTTTCCTTATGTTAATTTTTTTTTTTTTTTAAAGATTTTATTTTATTTATTTGAGAGAGAGAGTGAGAAAGAAAGAGCATGAGAACGGGTAAGGATCAGAAGAAGCAGGCTCCCAGCTGAGCAGGGAGCCCGATGTGGGACTCGATCCCGGGACTCCAGGATCATGACCTGAGCTGTGAAGGCAGTCGCTTAACCAACTGAGCCACCCAGGTGCCCTCCTCATGTTAATTTTAATGCAGTTTGGAACCCAACAATTCTGTAAGCATGGTTAAATTCCCCCCCACCCCGGCCCTTAAAAAAAAAAGAGTGTCTTTGCTCTTAATATTAAATTCTAATATATTTAATTAAGATGGTAGTTACAGATGATCACACATTTCAAGTTCCAAACTTGCCTATACTATTTATATGGTTTAAAATATTTGGGAGTTATATCTCAATGTGTCATTTCTGTCATAAGAATACACAAACAGCTGCTTGTTTGTGCTGAATCACTTTAGAAGTTCATTTACCAATCTGGTCTCGACTAATAGATTTTAAATAGGGAAAGAGATAACTTGAGGATATTTTAAGGTTAAGATTACTGCTCACTTGAATGCCATTTTTAAATAGTTCTCCCACTTACAGTCAAAATGCTGTGTATATAACCAATGTGGTACATATAGAAAAGGTATTCCTAATCTCAAATCTGGGTGGTACTGTGGTGAGGCAGTGTGATGAAATTCCTGGCTAAAGAGGATTATAAGATGAGCAATTGTCTTGCTTACTTGATATATGTTTTATAGGTTTTGAGTTTGTGAGCTGCATAAAAACAATCATTCCCTAGTTGTTCATTGTGGAACTGAAAGATCTCTTAACGTGTATTTTTAAGCAAATTTAGATGCAGCCGTAAATGTTGACCAGGTATAGTATTTTCCAGTGGGAAAGTGGGGTTTTCCTCATTGCATGAAACCATAGGGAATTTTCTGCACTGTGATTTACTGTGTAAAATGAGGGGGCAAAAATCCTTGTTTCTACAAAGCTGAACTGTGTAGCAATTTTTGGTAACATATGGCATGGCCACTTTGCCATAAAATGTGTTAAATTCTGAGGCATACTTAGGCCATAGCCGGCACTAAGAATTAAACCTCATATCAGTGGAACAAAAATGAACAGGCAGCATCCTCTGTTTGGAATGGGACCAGTGTACAATTAACACAATTTAATTTTATACATTCCTTAAGATTCCATTTTTTAATTGCATTCATTGAGTTTGTGTATAAATTTAAGTCCGTGCCTAAGTCAGTTTAGTCTTAGCCTAAGGAAAGTTTTTTCTTCCACTAAATACAAAGTTTTGGTTTTTTTTTTTTTTTTAACCTTTATAACTTATTTAGTATGCACATCGTATCAGATACCAACCTGTAAAGTGCTATAGTAAGGGGTCCCTTAAAGACCTTATCAGGGAGTTCAGATTTCATATACATTATTACCAGGTTATTTGTAAGAAATCGTTTTGAACAGCTGTAAAACATTTAAAAACCGTGGCAGACGCATTAACATGCAGCCATTTGATAATGAGAGCAGAAACCTTAACAAGTTTTACCTAATTCTTGCACTGAATTTAAATGATAATATAAAGTTAAATGTGCATTTTAAACAGATTTTATTTCACATTTATAGCTTAGCATACAAGAAGAGCTATGCTTAGTGTTAGAGGATTGACCAGCAAGATATATTCCAGATGCAAGAGGTAAGAGAGTAGAAGCACCTTACTGTTGGAGCATATTGCATTTATTTAGTGCTACTGAACTGAATCAGTAGTTACTTCTGAATTTTGCTGCAAAGTGCTCTTTAGTTAAAGCACATAAAGAGGGATCTCTGCCTAATTGCTTTGTAAGTTGAAGCAATGGTATTTTTCATCCTATAGTCTAATTTAAAAGTTTTTCCTACAAAATGAGTTTATATTGCTGCCTAAACTATCATGTATGTAAACAGAGTTTTTGGGTTTTTTTAAGGGTGAGAGGGAATCGGGGTCCTGTATGTGTGTGCGCGTGTGTGACATGTTTGCCCCATTGGGTTATTTGGAAGATACGTTCACTCTAAAATATTCTGTTTTACCCACAAATATAAATGTGCAGCTTGGTATTTGAGGGGTTTGTTGGTTGAATTCAAATTTATAAATGTTTTTCCCCTTCCCCATTTTTATTATGCCACTGTTAAGGTGCATGTACAGAAAATACCTCGGAGGTTGACATATAATAAATATTTCATCAAGGCTATTTCACATTGAATCTCAAAGCAGTCATTTGTTTTGAGAGTTAAGGGAAAGTTTTTTGTTGGTTTTTTTAAAAGTCAGGTATAACTAAGGGTGGCTCAATTTGGGGGAGTTAAGGGTGGAGGGGAAAGACCGTGGAAAGTCATTTTTATATGTATACACAAAGGTATGGGTGTTGGTTATAGAGGTGAATTTTATCAAGGGAAGTTTGGGGGGTTTTCTTTGTTTTTTGTTTTTTGTTTTAACTTGCATGTTCTATGGTTAACTATCCAAGAGTGTAACAAGTTATTCTAGCTTTTCCCAGTACTAATTATATTGGTTTTAAGAAGTCTTCATGGTCACAAGATGGCATTTTCCCTTCAGTTGTGAACCAAGAGGGATAGAAAATACCACCCAGACAGTGACTTCTGACTTCTTTAACTTGGACAGAATCCCCACTGTCTCGTTGAGTTTCTCGTACTGTATGTCTTGCCAAGTGTGAAACCATAATACATAGTTTGAAAAATTGAAGGCTACAGATCATTTTGCATGATTAAAAGCCCATTAGGGCTACTGAAACTGACATGTTTTTTAGCCTTTCTGGTTAAGTGAAAATTACAATGGCAAACCAATTCACCATTTACTAGCTTTGTGCAATATTATAATGGTAGAAGCAAAACACTAGCACATTGTGCTTGGCTTTTAAAGAGGCTTTAACACCGTACATTAAACGGAAGTGTGCACAGTGTATTGTAAATGCCAACTCCTTGAAAATTTACAATACTTAAATATGCTCCCTTAATATTCTGAAGTATTAAAAGTACAAAGAAAAAACTAAGCAGGCATTTATAGCAATACTCTGAAATCTCCAATAATTGTTTTGACGGTTGCCTTTTGCTCTTTAGTGCAAATTTTCTGCATTGTAATTATTGTATTGCTTTGTATTTTCATGTTTTTTACACCATGACTTCAGAGTTAAGTACTTGTACAGCAAGTATTGCAATCACTTTCTCTTCTTGTACATGCAATGTAACAACATACAGTTTTGGTGCTTAACAATATTCCTTTTTTTCTTTAATAAAAGATATTTATTGAGTTAATTTCATTTTGTTTGTTTAAAATAGCAGTGATGGTAGATATTGTCACTTCATTTCAAATAGAAGGAGCACAGCAAGTTGTGAATTTGCTATAACATCATGAACAGGCTTCGGAGACTGTCTACCCTTGTACTTCTGCCTCTTCCTATTTATAATGAAGTATTTTAACAGTTGCCAAATTTATGCTAATAAAAGCCTTATTCATGTTGTCTGTGTAGCTATCCCCACATAGTTTGGCGATGTTGACTTCCAGAATTTAGAAGGTCTTTAAATGCCTTTCATTTTAGCAAGCCATCTGTGACTATTTAAATTTGAGATTATTGGCTCTACACTTAAACATAGGACTAGCTTCACCGGAACCCAGCAGCTCCCCTTATCTGATGCTGACTTGATACAGCCCCCAACATACAGGAGGCACACGTTTAAGGGCGGGTCCCAGGTGCTGCTCAGTCCCCAAGTAAGGGCTCCAGTTCCATCTCTCCCTGGGCAGTTCAAATCACTTTTGCTCCCTTAGATAACAGAATTTTTGTTTCTGATTTTTTTTATTACTGGGGCTATCTAGTTCCTGTGTGAGAAAGTTCACAGCCTGGTATTAAATAATTTATTTCTTCCTTCCCCCAAGCCATCATTTATAAAATGATGGGCTGAACACAGTGGGATTTGGTACTTTGCCAACTTCAGGATTCTGTATTAAGAAGTGAGAAATTTCTCCCAAGGGAGAAATTAATTCTATGTATTCCCTCTGCAAATAAATCTGAAACTAGCCAGAAGGCTTTGATTACTAGATGGTCTTTCTACAAGAATTTAGAGAATGGATTTAATAAGAGGAGATCTAGCCAAACTGGCAGAATATCATCTCTGAATTAAACTTAGACACAGTACTTCAGAAGAATCCTAGTACCTAGTTCACCCTTACGAAGTCAGGGTGTGGTTGGCTTAGGATAGCCTCCCTGGGTAACCTCTCTGTTGGACTAGCCATCTTTACTAAGTTAAAAAAAAAAAAACAAAACATCTCTTGGAAATCTAGGCCTGATAGAATTCCTCAGTCCTTTACAACTGTCATTCATCCTGACCTTGCTGAATTCCATAAGCTGGATGAAAACCTCATGAGTTCTTTGCTACAGGAAGCTGTTTGGGAGAGGTTTAGAATTCTTTGGTGCAAAAATACCAACATTCCATCACATTCTGACAGTGAAGTTTGATCTTACTTCCCAAGCACTCTGTCCCTCTGCCAAGTTACTACATTCATACCCTTTCCATAGAGACCCTACAACTTTGTTGCTCATCAAAAACTTTGTTCCTTGCTGTTAGCATTTTCTCCAGCTCTCTCCACCAATAATCTTGCCTATTCACAAGATCCTCTTGCTTACCAGTTGCGCGCTCTCCTGTTTCTCTGAAGTTGGCAGCCAATTGCTTAATGTCTAACAGGGTGATGACCCATTCTTCCCCGAGTTCATACTGGGTCTATCCTCTAATCACAGCCGCCTCCTACTTCTTGCCCTCCTTCCTCCTTCGTGCCTCCCTCTATCCACTCTCGGCTGTTGCTGTGAATGACTCCATAGAGCCAGGCCATTAAGCATCTCTGATCTCATGTTCGTCCCTGTCATTAATTCCAGTGGCCAGGCTTGCAGTGCAGCCAGTATGGTCCTAGACTTCCTGCCTCCACACTGGCTAGGGTAAACATGCACCGATGTACAAGGCTTTCTGTGAGCAGACTCTGGTCTCCTTTCTTAAGCCTTTAGCTGTAGTATCTCCATTTCACATGCTCATCTCATGCCTTTCCACCTGCGCACGTGTCTGCCTAAAATGCTTTTCTGTCGACACCATCTAAATTCCGTCCATTGAATGTTAATTTGGAAAGCACATGGGCAATCATGACCCCCTCTCTCCCCCGGTGTGTCAACATCCTTAGAACACTGGAATTAGGGGAATAAGAAAGTTAAGATGTAAGAGGAATTACATAATCTGATTTAATCATGATTCTATAAATGTTATCATTTGAGGCAGAGCGAGAAATAAAAGGGTTTAGGTATTAAATTGTCCAGCAGCTTTGGTTTAACCCCTCCATCATTCCCCACAGCAACTTCAACTTCACTCTTAACCCTGTAAGATCCAAGTGCTCAGCTTTAATTTTAGACGGTCTTGAAAAGAGCTCATTCTAGGCTATAACTAGACCCGAGTCTCCTGTGTTGAGATGTGCTAGAGAAATTCAATAAAAATTTTCAAGAAGTATAAAAACAAAGTATCAAAGACACCAAGATGTAAATTCAAATAAAGTCAGTTACAGACGGTAAGTAATTATGGTTAGTCACAGGGCTAACAGGCAGTGTAGATGGAGGAAACTTGGTCCCCACACCACAGTTTTTGCAAGGAGAGTCAGGAACATCTTTATCCCCACACAATATATGCCTACACAGTTACCTGTCTCACTTCCAGTGATGTCTCCAAGCTGCAGAAGCTGGGACTCTTACTCAGCCTCAGCAACCTTTTTTTTTTTTTTTTTTTAAGATTTATTAGAGCACGCACAAGTTGGGGGAGGAGCAGAGGGAGGAAGAATCCGTAAGCTGATGTCCCCCCTGAGCACAGGGCTCTGTCCCAGGACCCCTAGATCACGACCTGAGCTGAAATCAAGTCGGACGCTCAACTGACCGAGCCACCCAGGTACCCCCGCAGCAACTTCTTTCTTTCTTCAGCTTCTGGAGCTACAACATTCCCAGTGACTGGCCAGTTCAAGTTCTTTCAACCCTCAGTAAATGTCTTGCTATATCAACCTGATCTGGAGGCCCTTTATATTGAAATATTAAAAATTGCTTTAATCAAATTAATAATACTTTAATCAAGTCATTGCAAGTCTATGAATATGGATTTTGAAGAAAAGCCTTAACAGCAATTAAACCCACTGGCCAGTTTCTGTTGGAATAGTTTACTACCACGAACAATTAGTTATCCCCAAGGGTGCTGAACACCTCCCATCAACAGACGCTTTGTGTATGTCATCAGTGATGATGAAAGACTGGCAAACTACAAGAAACCTTACGTTGTTTGTAATCCTTTTTTAATGGAAAGAATGAAGTCTGGCAGGAATCAATCATATAGTTACTCCTAAAACTTCTTATGAAAGATTTAGAACAATATAAACCCTACTCTGAATTTTTTTAAATTTTGTGTGTGTGGTACAGTGTGTGAATATACACTTAAGCTAGAAGAATAAATTAACATCATTAAGGGACTTGGGAGAAGAGTAAGAAGACAGGCAGAAACTTAATGCCTGTAGCCATCATGGGCATATCGTGACATAATCTTATTCAAAATTACATTATGAAAAAGCCATACTATGGTTCTGCGGTGGAAGTAGTCCAGTTGGCATCAACATCCTAGACATGTTGTAGGCCAAAATAATCTTTTTCATGCTTAAAGACCAAAACCTTTGGGATTTTTGAGTAAATGTACAAGTATTCTAGGAGTTCAGATCTACTTAAAATTATTTGGTCTTGGGGCACCTGGGTGGCTCAGTCGGTTAAGCATCTGCCTTCGGCTCAGGTCAAGATCCCAGGGTCCTGGGATTGAGACCCACATTGGGATCCCTGCTCAGGGGGGAGTCTGCTTCTCCCTCTTCCTCCCCCTGCTTGTTCTCTCTCTCTCAAATAAATAAAATCTTTAAAAAAAAATTATTTGGTCTTCCCTGTAGGCCGCTTTGTGACCTACCTCTTTTCAGAAATAGGGTGGCCTTCCTGGGCAAGTATACAGTCAATTCCACAATTTTTGAAACAATGTTAACTCTATTGCCTCTTCTGTCAGCACTTCCAAGGACCATCATAAAGTGCAACCATAAGTTTACTGTGGCCCAGCACTTGCTCTAAAAGGTTTTCTAATGTCAACTATAAATTTCTCTGATGTTACCTAAGCTTTGGTATTACATAATGTTGAATCATCAGAAGGCAACACCTCGACGTATTACCTCACCAACTCCGGCAATGCATTCACTACGTTAGATACAAGCACGATGACTTTATACTTCAGCTTTCAGGGATGGGTGAGGTGTAGAAATAAATACCTATTTCTGGTCTTTCTTCATGACTCTTTTCCTAGTTAGTCTCACTCTTTCCCATGGCTTTAAATGACATCTGTTATGATGATTCCCAATTAGGTTTTTTTCTGGCCTGTACCTCTTCTCAGGACACTAGATCTTGATGTATTCAACTGCCTGATGGTCTCTTCATTTGGATGCCCCAAGCATATCTCTAACATAACATGTCCAAAATGGTGCCCTGGACCCACCCATCGAAACCCAAGCCCAACCTTTCCCAGGTTTGCCCATCTTCCACAGTTCATCCTGTTCTGTAATTAGGAACGTGCAAGTTCTCCTTGCTGCCTTTCTCACCCTCACCCTCCACATCCAATTCTCCAAGTTCTATGAAGCCTAGGTCCACTTTATATCTGGCATCCTTCCATTGCTTTCTCTGTCCCTTACTACCCTTATCTTTATCAGACAACCACCTCTCAACTAGACTACTGCACTGGCCTCCTAAATGATCCTTCCATTGCCACTCTTGTCTCTTTCCAACTTACTCTCCACCCACAAAGTGGTGAGATCACATCTCTCTCCTGCACAAAACCCTCCAGTTGCTTTCCATTACACTTAGAATGAAATCTCAAGTCTGCTTATGGTCTGCCTCCAAGGCTGGATGTGATTTGACCCTTCCTACCAGGCCCATGGCTTACTGAGCTCTAGCCATATGTATAATCTCTTACCTTAGGACCTATGCGAACTATCCTCTTTCTAGAATTGTTCTCCCTCTCTTTTTTAGTATGACCAACTTATCTGTCTCCTCTAAGTTCTTATATTGAAGTCCTAACCCTCAGAATGTGGAGATACGTTCTTTACACCAGTAATCAAGTTAAAGTAAGGTCATTAGAGTGGGCCTAATCCACTATGACTAGTATCTTTATAAATGGGATAATTTAGATACGAACATGCATAGAGGGAAGGTAATGTGGAGAGA